CCGGCCCCCGCGGGTGGCGGCGGCGGCGGCGCCGCCGGCGGCTCCCGCGTCAGAGAGAACCCCACAAAATGGCGACAGCCGCTCAAGCTTCGGCGCGACCGGGCCCTTTCTCGCGCGCCAGCTCACGCACGCGCGAGTGCGCGCTGGTTTCCTCTCCTTCCTCTCGCGGGAGCTTGGCGACCAATCCTGAGGCTGCAAACAAGAGGCCGCCCACCACGGGGACTAAGCCAGTTGGTGACGACACTGCGGAGTGGAGGTGAGCACGTCTCCAGCCCTGGCTAGCCAATCACCATCCTGGAAGTCGGTCGGTGCTCGCGCGTCAGAAGGGCTTTGGACGCGTCCACTGACACAGTGAAATCAGAAGCCCGGGGAAATCACTAACCATCACAATGGGTCGTACTGTTGAGCCAGCCAGGGGTAAGGGTAGGGTGAGGTGGGGTGGGGAAGGTTGCTGATGACAAGGGGTTATCTCACTACGTCCTCTAAAAAACGGTTCTTTCGTAGCGGATTTGCCAGCTTCGATAGCAGTTTGTATTTGAGAAATACAGGCTCCCCACATTTTAAGCAAACGTAGTCATTTTTTCCGCGTTTTGAACAATTAAAAAAATTATTGCTAACATATTATTCATTAGTGAGGAAATTGAAAATCAAGGAGCAGAAAGATGATCTGTAGCAGAGCTGGAACAGACTAGGAGCATTTCTAGCCAGGCTACGCTTCATCAGTTACGATTTGTTTGCTCAAGTATATTCGTGGGCTGTTTTTCTCTTTCTAGCTAGAGTGTAAGCTCTTATTGTGTGTCCATTACAGTTGTTGGGCCGTGGCGAGCACACCAGAGGAATAGTTGGTGCATAATTGATTTTGGTGAGCCGGCCACGTCTGCATCAGGCTGTAGGAGATGTAGGCAATTGAGTCTTCAGACACTTGCTTGCATTCAAAATTCAGTTGTGGCCCAAGGGCACCTCCTGGTGGCAAAGCCGAGGCTATTAAGTGGATTACTCTCCGCCTTCAACAAAGCATAAATGTTTATGGAGATTGATAGATTAGGTTTATCTTTGAGTCTGCACCAAGGTGCTTGTCAATCACTGTTCGCTATTGTGTTCCCCATAACAGATTATCTGATACAATCAGGCACAAATCCTCAAGCTGCCCTATTCCACCACTAGCTACTTGGATGTGTTTCTCACTGAATTTTTTCTCAGCTTAAAAGAGCATCTGGGCCAATAGATGGTGTGGAGGTTAAGGTAGCTGGATCCCAGATAACAGAATGTACTTTTCAAGTCTCAAACATGCTGGGCGCATTTGTGTACATGCCCCAAATCCTGAAGAGAATGGAGGGAGAGGGATTGCAGTATGGCCATCCTCCCTGGGAGGTGCTTTCTCATTTTGTCTGTCTTGCCTGACAAGCCCAAGTGTTCCATAACAAAGCAAATAAAAGAGCTCCTCTCCTTAGACTTTTTATTTTAAAGAATTATTTTATTTAACTTTATTTATTTATTTATTTTTTAAATAATTGACTTTACTTATCTATTTTTTTTTGGAGAGGTTTTTGCTATAGGGTATGTGCACTCGCCAGAGAGACAGAGAGAGATGGAGAGACAGAAAGCAAGAAATCACCCCCCAGGAGGGATGGCCCCACTGCAATCCCTTCTCATCCAGCCTCCTCTTGGAATCTTGGGCACACACGCACACGCACCCAGCATGAGTTTAAGCCACTGGGTCCGGAATTTGAACCACGGTCGACTACATGGGAGTCCAGCGACATAGCCATTACACTAACTGCTGGTCCCTATTTATTTTAATTTGACCAGAGAGGGACATAGTGAGGAGAGAGAGAAGAGGAAAGTGAGAAAGCAACTCTCCAGGTCGAGTACTCAAACCACAGTCACCCATGTGGGAATTCAGTGCTCTTAACCACCACGTCACCTGCCCACTGCTCTCCTTAGAATTTTTATCACCTGCACTCATGCTTATCTCCCACCTAATTCTTTTTTTTTTTTTTTGGAGAGGTTTTCGCTATAGGGGGCGTGCGCTCACCAGACAGACAGAGAGAGACATAGAGACAGAAAGCGAGAAATCACCCCCCCCCCCAGGGAGGAATGGTCACACCGTGATCCCTTCTCCTCCATTCTCCTCTTGGGATCTTGGGCGGGCACGCATGCACACGCGCCCGGCGTGGCTCCCGCTTAATTCTATTCACCTCTTCTCTTCTCAGGCATTTTGTTTTTCTCTACACACAGATGTTTTACTCTCTGACACACATATAGACCTGGACCATTTCTGAAATAGTTTTCACTAATTTTCACTATTATTTTCTAAGTTGGGTTCCAGTATTCCACGACAGTATTATCAAATGTAGAGTCTGAATCTGCTGTCTCCCAAATTTAAAAAATACTGTATTTTCTAATTTAAAAATATTCATGGTACAACACATGGGCACATATATGAGAGAGATTGAGGGAGAGAGAAAAAGAAGCATCTTCCACAGTGTCTGGTCACTATGTTTTCCTCTTCTTCTGATCTTGGGCATTTGAGTATCTACCTGATGTATTTCAAGCTGACCAGGTCAGTGATTCAAACTGTGGTAGCTGGGGCTGGTAGGTGGCGTAGTGGTTAAGGGTGCTGAACTTCCACATAGCCAACCGAGGTTCGAGTCCCAGACCTGGCAACTTGCTTTCTCACTTTCCCTCTCTCTCTCACTCTGTCCCTCACTGGTCAAATTAAAAATAAATAAATAGGGACCAGTAGTTAGCATAATGGCTATGCTGCTGGACTCCCATGTAGTCGACCATGGTTTGCGTCCCGGACCCGGTGGCTTAAAACTCACGCCAAGCACGTGTGCGTGCGTGCCCAAGATCCCAAGAGGAGAATGGAGGAGAAGGGATTGCGGCGTGGCCACCCCCCCGGGGGGGTGATTTCTCGCTTTCTATCTCTGTCTCTGTCTGTCTGGCAAGTGCATGCGTCCTATAGCAAAAATCTTCTCCAAAAAACAAAGCAAAACAAAAAGTAAATAAATAAAGTTAAATAAAACATAGTTTTTACATTCGTTCCTGCAGAAAGTCTTGCTGGAAGGTGGGCTGCCTGTGACTGCACCCATTCCAGCAAAGAGCCTTGCCAAAAGGCGGGCCACCTGCAGCTGCCTTGGGTTGAATGCTGGGACCCATGGCTTATTCCCTACCCCACTCGCCTTTGGACTTAAAGGACTTTAGTGTTTAGTATTCTGTGCATTGTACAACTTTTTTTTGATACTGAGTTGAAGCTCAGCAGCACAGTTTCAGGCGCACCTGCTCTCTAGAAACTGGGAGGACTTTGGGTCACCCAGGTCCAGGAACAACAGTGCAGGGTGCTGGTGAGCGATAGCGAGGCAGAGCAGAGAGATATTGCCAATTTCCTACTTCTGCACACCTTTGAATGCTCGGCGATACCTTGAATTATTTAGGAAGGAGCATACAGATCAGCAGGTGACTAGGAACCATTGGAGAGGCACAACAAATATGAGCAACCAACAAAATGTCTCTCCCCCAAGGGAAAACATCAATTCTTCATCACCCACAGACAATACAATGGAAGTCATAGAAATGTCACATAAACAATTCAGAATATTTGTAGTGACCAAACTAAATGAGATGCAAGAGAAAAGAGACAGTGAACTCCAGGAAATGAAATCCTTTCATGATTTGAAAGAAGACATAAACACTATAAAAAAGAATCAAATGTGGGGCCAGCATGTGGCGTGGTTGTTAAGGGTGCTGGACTCCCACATGGTCGACCATGGTTCGAGTCCTGGACCAGGCAGCTTGCTTTCTCACTTTCTCTCTCTCTCTCTCTGGTCAAATTAAAATAAATAAATAAAGTTAAATAAAAATGATTTTTTTTTTGTGGAGGTTTTTGCTATTGGGCGCGTGCGCTTGCCAGAAAGACAGAGCTAGAGAGACAGAAAGTGAAAAATCAGCCATGGGGGGATGACCACACCGCAGTCCCTTCTCCTCCATTCTCCTCTCAGGACCCTGTGCACACATACACACACACACGCCCGACATGAGTTTAAGCCACCAGGTCTGGGACTTGAACTGTGGTTGACTACATGGGAGTCCAGCAACATAGCTATTACGCTAACTGCTGGTCCCAATAAAAATGGTCCTTAAAAAGAATCAAATGGAATTGTTAGAGATGAAGAATGTGGTACATTCTTCAAAGTACTAAAAGTAGATTAGAACATGGAGGAGATGGACAAATTCCTGGATGCATATAATCTACCACGATTGAATCAGGAGGACATAGAAAACCTGAATAAACCCATAACAAGCCATGAGATTGAATCAAAAACCTGAAAAAAAAAAAAAACCATAACAAGCCATGAGGTTGAATCAGTAATAAATAACCTTCCAACAAAGATAAGCCCAGGTCCTGATGGCTTCACTTCTGAATTCTACAAAACTTTTAAGGAAGAGTTAACTCCTATTCTATTCAAATTATTTCTAAAGATCCAAAAGGAAGGAAACCTTCCAAATTCATTTTATGAAGCCTCCATCATCTTCATTCTCAAAACAGATAAAGACATGACAAAAAAGGAAAACTACAGACCAATATCTCTGATGAATATAGATGCAAGAGTTCTCAACAATATGCTTGCAAATCATATCCAACAACATATAACAAAGATTATTCATTATGACCACGTAGGGTTTACTCCACGGATGCAAGGGTGGTTCAACATATGCAAGACCGGGACCAGCAGTTAGCGTAATGGCTATGTTGCTGGACTCCCACGTAGTCGACCGTGGTTCGAGTCCTGGAACCGGTGGCTTAAACTCACGCTGAGCTCGTGTGGGTGAATGCCCAAGATCCTGAGAGGAGAATGGAGGAGAAGGGATTGCGGTGTGGCCAACCCCCTTGGGGGGTGATTTCTTGCTTTCTGTCTCTCTGTCTGGCAAGCGCACGTGCCCTATAGCAAAAACCTCTCAAAAAAAATATATGCAAGACCATAAATATAATACACCATAATAACAGAAAGAAAGATTTTTAAAAATGATTATTTCAATAGATGCAGGGAAATCATTTGATAAAATTCAACATCCCTTCATGATTAAGATTTTCAGCAAGATTGGTATAGAAGGGTCATCTCTCAACATAATAA